AAAAAATCAAACTTACAATGTCATCTTATCTTTTTGATTAATGCACCAAAATTCCACTTCAGGTTGCTTCTAAACCCTAAAAACAGTTGTTCCTTTCTTCATTATGTCATATCCTCGTCTAGCCAAGTGACTCATAACTGAAGTTGTTCATGTTCATCAATTGGCTAGTATCAGACCAATTTTTATATCGGATAATCTGCCAAGAGCACACAATAAGCATAACTGATGGGACCTTAACTTAGAAATCGAACTAGACAGGATAATTAATTAAAAAGTGAATGGCATCTTCAAGATTGTTAACAATCCAAGAACATAATCTTAAAATAAAAAAAAATAAAAAAAAAAATTATTCCTATGATTGGATAGGTTCATATAATAAATCAAACAAAGTTTAGTCACAGTGAGAAAATTTTCTATAGTTTTAAATGATCTTCATTTCCAATATTCAAAGACCGTTGCCAACAATAGCATAAGCTCAAAATATATATATATATATATATATATATATATATAATATGATTGGATATGGGCATGACACAGTATTTAAAATTTAATAAGTGAGAAGTTAGTAGATGTTGCATTTGTATGTGACTCATAATCTAAAAATAAAAAATAAAAAATTCATGTGATTGGATATGTTTATATAATAAATCAGGCAAAATTATTAGTCACAGTGAGAAAAATTATCTATACTTTTAAATGGCATCTGGTATCATCTTCATTTCCAATATTCAAAGACGACAACAATAGCATAAGCTCATATATATATATATATATATATATATATATATATATAATATGATTGGATATGGGTATGTTACAGTGTTTAAAATTTAATAAAAAATTCTGAGTATCAGTTAGTAGATGTTGCATAGATCATACCATCATGACCATGATGCTAGTATGATTAAGAGGGATGATCCAGATCTACCAGGATGCTAGTATGATTAAGAGGGATGATCCAGATTTGCTGCCGCCTGATAATGATAAGATGGAGTTGCTCTACTCAAAACCCCTTTATTTATGTTATAACTATTGGTCCTCGATAAAACCCCTTTTTCTTTGTTTTAATATTGGATGGTCTCTGCTTCACTCCTTAGTGAAGTGCAGGTATTTATAATGTTTAAAATATTATTTTAATCTTATTTATAAAAAATAAGATTAAAATTCCATTTCAGGTTGCTTCTAAACCCTAAAAACAGTTGTTCCTTTGTTCAGTATGTCATATCTTCAGCTAGCCAAGTGAGTCATAACTGAAGTTGTTCATGTTCATCAATAGGCTAGCATTGGACCAATTTTTTTATCGGATAATCTGCCAAGAGCACACAATAAGCATAACTGATGGGACCTTAACTTGGAAATTAAACTAGACAGGATAATTAATTAAAAGGTGAATGGCATCTTCAAGATTGTTAACAATTCAATAGCATAATCTTAAAAATAAAAATAAAAATAAAAATAAATAAAAAAATCCTATGATTGGATAGGTTCATATAATAAATCAGGCAAAGTTTAGTCAGAGTGAGAAAATTTTCTATAATTTTAAATGATATTCATTTCCAATATTCAAAGACCGTTGCCAACAATAGCATAAGCTCAAATATATATATATATATATATATATATATATATATATATAATATGAATGGATATGGACATGTCATAGTATTTAAAATTTAATAACTGAGTATCAATTGGTAGATGTTGCATTTGTATGTGACTTATAATTTAAAAATAAAAAATTCATGTGATTGGATATGTTTATATAATAAATCAGGCAAAATTATTAGTCACAGTGAGAAAAATTATCTATACTTTTAAATGGCATCTGGTATCATCTTCATTTCCAATATTCAAAGACAACAATAATAGCATAAGCTCAAATATATATATATATATATATATATATATAATATGATTGGATATGGGCATGTTACCGTTTTTAAAATTTAATAAAAAATTTTGAGTATCAGTTAGTAGATGTTGCATAGATCATACCACCATGGCCGTGATGCTAGTATGATTAGAAGGGATGATCCAGATCTGCCGGGATGCTATTATGATTAAGAAGGATGATGCAGATCTGCCACCGCCTGATGATGATAAGATGGAGGCGCTCTACTCAAAAACCCCTTTTTCTATGTTATAACTATTGGTACTTGGTGATGCTCTCCCCTAGATGTGCACAAAATAATGCACAACACCTTGAGTTTGGAAATTAGTGTCAAGTAGGCATCATAGTTAAAATTATAAACCGCTTAACACCTATACTATATAGTATGAATGAGAAGGGGTCGTCCCAAGGGATTGGAGTCGTACTTGAATGTGAAAATGCAACTAGGGTCAATAGGTCGAATGATCAACAAATGGTTGGTTGGTTAAGTAAACTAGAGAGTAACTAAATTAAATTAAGTGATTGAATGTAACAAGAGTAAGTAAGATGAGAGAGAGAGAGATCTTGGGGTTTAGAGGTCACCACCAAGCAATGCTTTTCTACACTTCCAACTAGTAACTAATGAGGGTGATGTGTGTTGCAATATTTGTGTGTATGTGCTTGGTTGATTCAATGAGCAAGGGTGACCAATTTAAGCATATATTGTCTAATCAACATGTGAAAAGCACAATATATCTAGCAATTAAGTATATATTGTCTAAATAGCATGTGAGAAGCACAACATATCTAGCAAGTCATTAATCCTTTCATTAAGTTCACAAATCAAACACACCACAATGTTAGAGACATATGCTACTTGCATTCAAAAAGTATGAAACATCAAACAACTAGCATGGATTATCCTTTCATCTAACAATTATGTTATCACTACACTACAATTAAACTAGTGGCGTAAAATTAAACTAACTAAGTTAAGGGAGAGGCATAATCCATCAAGAAGTGAGCATGGACCATCTAGAAAATCACAAGAGCATTCTTTTAAGCACAATATTTTGACAATCCCTAAATCCATAGACATGCATTAATTACACAAGAAATAGAAGTAAACACATGAACATCTATTCTAGCATATATAGACAAATGGATATAATGAAATGATTGATTGGAAGCATTAAACCACATAAATCATTGAATAAACAAGATGTATATGTATAAAAGTGTCAAAACATTAATCATAACATTAATCCTTCAATAATACACAAGATTAAGATATAGAAAGCATGTTTGGGGCTAACTCTAACCCCAAGAAGATGTCTAGCCACTCATGGTGATGATGCTCCAACCCTTAAGGGCTAATTCCATGGTTGAAATCTATTCCTTGTTGATGAAGAGTCTCCAATGGTGTCTCTAGCCTCCTCCTCCTCTAAGCTTCCTCTCCAAAAGATGATATGAAAAATTAAATTGGCTCCCCCTTTGAAAAAGCAATCCTTATCCTTATATAGGTAGGTCAAAATGACACCTAAAATGAGCTGGGGTCGTGCACACAATATTCCCTAATGATTGGATAAAGGACTACTTTCAATGAGATGGAATTTTAACTTTTTCGCACTGGAGGAAGTTCGATCGATCAAACCTAGAACTTGGATCGATCGAAGGTAAGTGAGATCGATCGAACTTAGGCTGGATCGATCCAACTGGCTGAGTTTTTTGGAAAAAGACAAATCCGAGATATTTATGGGAAAAGGATAAAAGTGGTTAGTGGGCGGTACAGCTGTGGATATGATCAATCATTTGAATAAGGATAAAAGTGTTCGATCGATCGAAGGATGGTGTTGGATCGAACGAACTTTTGGAACTTTATGCTTTTGGGTCAAGGCTTGGATCTATCTTGAAGTGCTGAGATCGATCATTGTTCGATCGATCGAACTTTGCTGCTTGCCACCTTTGGCTTCATTTGCTTCATTATTTCTTCACTTTGCTCCTTTCTTTGATTAATCCCAGAATTGCTTCAATTAAGCTCTTATTTGGCTGAGTTAGCTTATTTTCGGGATAAGTGCCTGAAAAGGGAAATAATACGAAATCAATCTAAAACGGTACCGTAAGATAGATAAAGGTATTAGAATGCCTAAGCTTAAGGGGTTTAAATACGCACTTTTCAGTGCTCATCAGTACTCGATAAAACCCCTTTTTCTTTGTTTTAGTATTGGATGGTCTCTACTTCACTCTTAAGTGAAGTGTAGGTATTTATAATGTTAAAAATATTATTTTAATCTTATTTATAAAAAATATATACATGTATTATTTTAATCTTGTTTATAACTTAATTAATTAATTACATTTGGAATCAGAATTACATTGTTGATTTGTTAGAATTAATATCTATTGGATTAGTTAAACACGTAACTCAAAATGTCCCACCCGTCATAAATAAAAAGTGCAAAAGAAAGGGGAAGGAGCCCCCTCCCATCTCATCCAAGCTGGCATTTTCGTCAATGAAATAAAGGTAGATGGATATAACAGATATTGATATGTAAATAAAAATAAATGTCCCAATTTAAATTCGATTGATAAATTTTTTTGCAATTCAAAGATTAGAAACAACTTTTTAATGCAAAGGTAAAGGCTATAAGTCCGTTAGACTCTCTTTGAATCTTGTGTATTGGACCAAACTTTTTTTTTTTTTTTTTTTGAACAATATGCCTTACTCATTTTGTGTAATACTTCTGGAAATGCATACGTCTTTAATTATAAAATTGAAAAGGAAAATGGAGAGCTGTGCACATACTCGCCGGTAAAAATAAAATACTGTCCTTTTTTTAATACTCAATTCAATTTGGATAATTGTTTGGTTCATTTTTTTTTAACATTAAAAAATAAATCAAAAATTATTTTTGGAGCACCATAAATGATATTTTTTAAAACATACATTTTTAAACAAAATTTTCAAAATTTGACAGACAAATAAATTATATCCCTTGTCACTCAAGTACCCCTTGATAAAAAGGCTCTCAACTACCAATAATATTGTGACAAGTTATTGATTTCTGACAACATAATGCCACATCACTAATAATAGGGACATTTAAGTAATCTCATGAACATAATCCCTATCGTCTCTCGACCTACCCACCACCCATCATCTCTGTCATGCACTCTCCTGTGAACCAGCCGTGGCGGCACCACCACCACCACCAGCACAGATGCGGTGGCGCCACCCCCACTATCCCCATAACCGCCACCACCATCCCCATCCAACATCCAACAACGGCACCACCACCACCTTCTCCAACCCCATAACCACCGATCCGTTGAGAGCCAGAACCAAAATGCGGCGGCAGCACCTCACGGAGGCTAAAATCGAGTCCCCCACCGCCGTCATACTCTTTAACTCCTTCGCCTTCCTCCATATGCCGACGAACGCCGCCTCGCCATTTTCCCTCGCGACGTCCAGCGCCGCCTCTCACCGATTCGTCGCCTTGTCACACATCTGTACAGAGATGGGATGAGGGAGATAGAGAGTTGTTGATTGTACAAAATGTTGGTGGTGGCGGTTGTGGAGGTGGGCATGGCGGCATGGTTGGTCTCGTGCGGCGGTGGCGGCGAAGTTGGTTCTCGCAGTGGCATGAAGGAGATAATAAATTACATTAATACCCTCATTTGGCAGATTTCATAGCTGTTATTTTTGTCCAATATGCACACGTGTTGGTTTCTTGAGAGAGAGAGAGAGTAATATGCAGGGGTGTTTTTGCAATTTACCCCATATAATATTGTAGAGAGAGCAAGAGAGAAAGAGGGACGGGAGGAGAAAGAAGAAGGAGAACAGAGATGGGAGGGGAAGAGAGAGAAGGAGTAACGGCGACGGACTTCTTCTGGTCATACACAGATGAGCCACACGCTTCTCGCAGGCGACAGATTCTCTCTCAGTACCCTCAAATCAAAGACCTCTTCGGCCCCGATCCCTTTGCTTTCCTCAAGGTATGCATGCAAAACACACAATGTGCTATTCGTTGTGTGTGTGTGTATAGTAATGTTCCTCTATATGGTTTTTTAGATCCGTAAAATTTCAATATTTACATGATTCTGTTTCATTACATTGTCTCTTTGTTGGATATCATGGGTTAATTGTTATGGTGGATTATAATGGATGCATTATGTAATTTATTTGTGGGAATTTATACCCTTTTGCTAATTTTATGGAATGAGCTCTTTTGCTCTTGTGTAATTTCTATGAAAAGTTCTGGTTTTGGATTTCTTATCATCAACTTTGAATTGGGTGCGTTTATTTTGGTTTAACATTCTTCGCATTGTGTAAAGTTGGGGTTTTGGGTTTTTTAATTGGTAGTTGGTTCCTAAATGCGTCTAGTGGATTTTAATATTCCGCATAGTGTAAGTGTGGACTTCCTATGGAAACTGAATGTATTCATTGTGATTCAAGTATCACTCTGTAAAGGAATCAATCATCTTGAGAGGGACAATTTAGACAACATCAGCCATTTCACAGAATTGTTGAAGAAAAACTGATGGTTGCATAACTTAGATTTAAGTGGGCCGTGATTGAGTTTTTTTTTTTTTATTTATAAGTCAGGACCGTGATTGAGTTTTAAATGATTGATTTTGATGGATCCTAATTTGTTGACCTCAAATGCTATGTTGAGTAAATATTTCATAATCTAATTAACTCTCTATTCCTTATCTAGTGTTCACAATGAATACCGTTTTCATGATGGTAATTTTTTTATGAATCGGAATTTCCTCTATATGCCTTGCGGACTTGTCTTTGTCATCCAGAAATGATTTCTCATTTCAATTAAGTTTGATATTTTCTTTGTTAGTTTTTTTATTATCTAATATTCTTTTCACTCAAACTTATTGTTTCCCTTTTTATCCACTCTCGTTCAAGTTGAAATTTGATATATTTGTATCATGTATTCTCCATTTCTACAATTTTTTTTTTTTTTCCCTCTACGTGGATTAAGATTTCATTGATGATGGTTTATTATTATTATTATTATTGATAAGTTTGTTTGTAGCTATATTTAAGTAGATTTTTTTCATAATACTTGCTAGCCTTCTAGTTTGTCCATGGGACAAGTCTGATTTATTCATTTTGCAAGTTATCCTGGTGTGTAGTGTATGCATTAAACTATGTTATTTTATAAATATGAGACGAGAATATTGGTTTCTAATATTATAGGGAATGTTAATCTTCAACCAACATATGTTTATTATACACGCAATGAATTTCTATAGTTCGGGTTGGGTGTTGAGTGTCTCTTTTTTGTCCGCGCGGAATTGAACTCTCTGCATAATTGTGGTTGCAGTGGCCTTTAATAATGTTAATGAGTTTTTTTCTCGTTAAATAGTAAGCTCTTTGTTTGCAGATTCGTACAAGGGTTTATATCGAACCTAACAAAGACGTGTCTTTTACCAAATTAAATAAATAATTTATAAGATTTCATAGCACAAAGGAATTTGTATCTTGATTATTCATTTTGCTTGCTTATCTCTTGAGAAAAGAAAAAGAGAAACTGATGACTTTAAATAACTGATTTTGTTCATTTCCTAATAAAATTATTTCCAGTTTTTAATGTATTTGATGCTTAATCTGATACTTGAAATGGCTTTTCTGAGTACATAAAGCAAGCCTTAATCTCTCTATATTTTCTCTTTGCACTGATAACAGCATTTTTTTGTACTTCTATGATAACATTAACAATTATTATATTTTCTTGTTGGATCATGAATGTAATGCTATAGGGATATGCATCTAAACGGATTGAACACACACAGCAAATCTTGAGTGACTTAAAACTGAAGAACAGGTTTTTTTTCTTCACAAAATAATAATCGTAATAATTAATTAATAAATAAAAACAGTGAACTGAGATAGTTGTCTCTCTACAGGAAATGAAAATCTGTAGCATACGATGAATATGTGATTCTTGCTGTGCATAGTTGAATTTGAGTTTTCTGACAGGCTTTTCAAAAGAATGTTTCACTTGATGATATTGCTATTTTTTCCGTATTTCTTCAACTAACGGTGGTGGTGATGAATTCCTATGCCAGAGCAACATAAGAGAATCATGATGACATTCATGGAGCATTTTATGGCTGGAAGTGCTGGGTTTAGGTGATGTGATGGTTACCAAAGAAACTAGAAAATCAAGTACTGGTTGAAGTGTATTTTCGTATATTGTTGAAATATTGAACTCAGGGATGTGATTTTAAGATAAACTTTTGTCGGAACTCTCTTTGATTTCACATTGTTTGTGATGGATTGTTTACTGATTGAAAAAGCAACGAATATTGAACTAATATAAGATTATGCCATATAACATATTTGAATTTGAGTGATTATGTACTTACTACATGGGGAATATGATGTATTTATGGTTAATATCCTCAAAATTTTGGTGTTGCAGATCATGGTGGTTGTTTTGCTTCAGCTATGGACCGCTACTTTCCTCAACAATGCAGGCTGGCTGAAGATACTGGCAGTGGCCTACTTCTTTGGCTCTTTTCTCAACCACAACCTCTTCTTAGCCATCCATGAGCTCAGTCACAACCTTGCCTTCTCTTCACCTGTGTACAACCGTTGGCTCGGGATTTTTGCTAATCTCCCCATTGGTGTTCCCATGTCTGTGACCTTCCAAAAGTACCACCTTGAGCATCATCGCTACCAAGGAGTGGATGGCATAGACATGGACATCCCAAGCCTCGCTGAAGCTAATCTCGTGTCAAATGCTGTCGTGAAATCCATTTGGGTAATCTTCCAACTATTCTTCTATGCTCTCAGACCTCTATTCCTGAAACCCAAACCCCCTGGCATATGGGAGTTGGTCAATTTGATTATTCAGCTGGGCCTTGATGCTGCCATGGTTTATTTTTGGGGCTGGAAATCATTTGCCTACCTGATCCTTTCCACTTTTGTTGGAGGCGGGTTGCACCCAATGGCTGGTCACTTTATCTCAGAACATTATGTCTTCAAGACAGACCAAGAGACATACTCTTACTATGGCCCCCTGAATCTTATGACATGGAGCGTAGGTTACCATAATGAGCACCATGATTTCCCAAGGATTCCAGGGAGCAAACTTCACAAGGTGAAGAAGATTGCGCCAGAATATTACGAGACTTTGGAATCACATAATTCTTGGAGCCAAGTAATTTACATGTACATTATGAACCGGACGGTTGGGCCCTTTAGCCGGATGAAGAGAAAGTTGTCAACGAAGACCACCAACAAATCCGAATAGGTGCCATTGTATTTTAATATTTTCCCTTTTTCCTTTACCTATCAGTTTTTTGACTATCATTTTTCTGTAACATATTGAGATCAGTATCATATGCTAAGGTTTTAGATTGAGATGTGACTATGTGAGTAATTTGTTTCATTGGCAAATCATCGGATTTGTGTTGCTGGAATATGTGGAATGGAAATGAGTTTTGCAACCCTATATTCTATCTTCTGATTCTCAACTTTTTTCTGTGACTCTCTTTACTTATTAGACATTTCTGTGACATGCATTTTGTTACATACTTCTGTAAAAAAAATTGCTTGTGTGGTTTAGAGTAAAAATAGTATTCGAGTATGCGATAGATGTTTCTTGTTGCTCTTCAGCCATTTCGAAGTTTTTCATGTTACTGGAACTTTGAAATTTCTCTTAGGAATTCGGATCTCAGGACATGATTTACACGGGACTTTTGTCATGATTTTAACTAGACTAAAAAAATATTAACAGACAATAATGATCTTAATCATACAAATATTGAGAAATACATCCACTAATATATTCTTCTGATCACTATTAATTGTTCATATAGAGGAGTCCTATAGCAATTTTGGTTACAGATGTTCTAGCACCATTGTAAGCATCTCCATCAACTATTCTGATGCACTTGGGAAATTTATGCTGCTGATACCAAACTGATAACTGCACTTCCACAAGCTTCTTCTTCCTCGTGTAAACGGAACATTTAGCGCAACTCAGTTCACTTATTTGTCTGACAATGGAAGCATGTATTATATCAGATGATAAAGAAAAAAAGAATTATGCTTGGATGTATGAATAGTTGGCTGAACCAAACATGTTTCCACCTTACCTTCCAGGCCTCATTCTTGGAGGCAAAGTTCGGGTCGCCAACAAAATAGGGCAGGGGATGGGCATGGCGGTTCAAAAGAGGCAGCCTGGGTGGAGCAAAGCCATCATCGCTGTCGTAGTCGTTTGCCTGATTCGTCTCAAGTGTTCTCAAAACCGTGGCCAGCAATATCGATAACCCCTGCACGTACCCAAACCAGTGGATCAGTTGTAGAGGCAACGAAGCAAACCTTATAGCATTCAGAAGATACCTGTGCCAAGACAATCAGCAAGCCAATCCATCTGCAGATGTCGAAATTCGAGTCCACAAAATGTTTGAAATCATCAAACCTTCCCGATGGATCTTCAGGCAAGTCCTGATAAGTCACAAGTTCAACATATGATACAGAAATGAAGAGAGAAAATAGAACTCATGAGAATTGCATACCTTTTCCCAGTCAGAGTTCAGGATCACATCTGCTAGAATTGCAGTCTCTAACAGGAGAAGTAAAAAGATAATAGATATATACTGTGACAGATTAAGGTCAACAAACAACAATATTTGAGACACAACCCTTAGAATCAAAGAATATCGCCAAATTCACTCCTTAGGGCTAGCCCAGGGGCTCTTGCCATTACGGGTCTAGGGTAAGTCAGATGTACAAGACCTTACATGCATGAAGAGGTTGTTTCCGGAGATTGACACATTAGAGAGGAACTAAAAGAAAAGTAACGCTCTAAAGAGAGAGGATACACAAGAGAGGCAATGATTATTTGCAGTATCTGCAGCAATGTGTCCAAGAAATGTAATTGCACACAAGGTGAAACCAATACCAAGAAAAGCATGTATAAACCTGAATTTTTTTTCCCCAAAAAATTAAAGTATCAGAAGTATATCACAAATGAATAGAAAACTGTGCATAAACAAAGATTGAAAAATAAATAAATAAAAAATGCTTCAACTTTTTGCAGGCTGCTATAGAACAACATTCATATCAAGTAGACTAAGTAGAAGAATGAGCTTACCATGGAAATTTTGAGCTATACTCATAAACTGACGATACCTCCATGTCGCGCTGCCAAACTCTAATCATCCACAAACTGTACAGAATCATCGCGATCCCCACAAATCCTATAGTCGAATTCACAAGTTTTAAAGAAAATTGAAGGCAATTCTTCACAACTCTCACCATCTTCAGATGTTGGCCTATTGATGAACATGAACAACTTCAGTTATGAGTCACTTGGCTAGCTCAAGATATGACATACTGAACAAAGAAACAACTGTTTTTAGGGTTTAGAAGCAACCTGAAATGGAATTTTGGTGCATTAATGAAAAAGATAAGATGACATTGTAAGTTTGATTTCTTGAGGAGTTAGAAAATGATTGATTGAAAGAGTGAGAGGAAGGAAATTTCCGAGAAACTGTGGTGGTTTGTTGTTTGATGGCATGGTACACTTCCAAAGTTTTAAATGCAGCTAAAAAAAACGGTTGGAAGTGTTGTCAAAAAGGAAAGAATATAAGCATCACCATGATAACAAAAAAAAAAAAAAAAATTGCAATTTGATTAAACCTTTGCCAATCAATCCCTTCTGTTGCAAGTCTACGACTTAAATTTTATCCTTGGGTTGGTAGAGTGGCTCCTTTAATTAGAAAACCTTTTAAAAATAAAAAATAAAAAATTTGGCATTGATTCACCCAACACTTTATTTTTTCAGCATTCCAGAAGTTAATAGTCCTACGTCTCCTTAACCACAATTATTTATCTATTATTACTTGTTTATTTTAGTTAGGTAAGTACGGCACACATTTTACAAATTGTCTAGAACATAAATACGCTACCCTAACATCGGTAGCGATTTAATCTAATATATTAGACTACCAAACTTAAAAGACTGGTCATTGAGGTTATATCATATTTTAATTAATTCATTCTTATAATGATATGATACGAGGTTTCTTCTTCTTTTTATAATGATTATTACATAAGTAAAGTAGATTTAACAGTGGTTAAAAAAAAAAAAAAAGTAGATTTAACAGTGTTTTATTTTATTTTATTTTTTTAATTATCGAGTACATCAATAAATTCTATAAATGGACAAAGGAATACACAAAGGACAAGGCCCAAAAAGAGGCCCAAAGCCACAAGCTCAGTCCACAGCCTTAACTAACTATTGATTGATCCAACAGCAGAAAAGCAGTTTTAGCAGTCATCAATGAGTTTTTTTTTTTTTTTTGATGGATAAATAAAACCTATGTATATATGGTACATGAATTATTTTTGGCCTTATCTTCTTTAAATATTCCAGATGCTGAACACTCATCAGCCAGAGAACTAACTAATAAAATGTATGCTTCAGTGGCCATAACAACACAATGTCTGCTACAAGTATTGTCCTGAGGAATTCTCAAACACATTTATAAGACCACTTCATTCATTTTCATTAACATCTGATGAAGATCAACAGAGAACATTGTATATATTCATATTGGAACTAGAGATTACGAGGCGTTTCCAAATACATAATTGCCTGAGTCATCATCTGCCCTGTCAGCTGCTAACCTCAGGTCGTCGTCATAAAATTTGGGGACAAAACTTATAGATTAGCTGAGAAAGATACGCTATCAAAACCCTAAAAAGCCACCTGATGCTTCAGGAATCCAACCACTGAAAAGGGGCAAGGATGCAACAAAAGTTCATGCAAGCTATTTGGAAAAGAAAAAAACGGCCCTAGGATGCTACAGATCCAAGAAATGTATGCTGCAGTAAGAAATTTCATGCAAGCTATTCGAAAAAAAAAAAAAAAAAAAAAAAAAGAGTCTTAATAGGTATACTTGTGCTGTAGAACTATGTTCTCTGTCACTACGCAGAAGTGTCTGGTAAGTCTTTGGTAGCTGGACCGGATTTAGAGGATGGATTGGCATCAACAATAGGTGGGGGTGGTTTCGGGGAAGTGGGAGGTTTGGCTGGCGCTGGCCTGTTAGGATGAACTTGATCAACTTTTTCTGAAGGAATCTCAAACTGCGATAAACAAAAAGGAAGTATTAATCAGATGCAACAAAAAAAAGATCTTGTCCACCATCAGTTGCAGTATTTGTATGCAATGCACAAAACAAAACAAAAAAAAAAGGTGTAAATTTCATTGCAACTGTTTTCTTTTTTCTTTTTCTTTTTATAGCTGCAAGATGAATATTAAATGCATTGGAATACGGCACTATGCTAGATAATTCTCCATTGAGAGCCAAAAATGAGACAAAAAAGAGTTCTTCCTCTGCAGCACTGATGATCTTGTATTCCATTTCTATTTGTTTTTATCGGCACAACAAGAGATATTCTTATATCCCTTTTCTCTTTTTCTCCACCACCTTCTCCATCCCACCTTATAGAAGTGAGATGTTCTATCTTAGATGGAGTAACATGTGCCCAATAATGTAACCTTTAGTGCAAAGAACTGCAGTGTTTTTAAATTTATTTCTACTGGCAACCTTATTGTTGTCATCTTCTTCTTTCTACATTCACGGCCAAAAAAGGGAGAAAAGGTAGTTCTACGGCTGCAGAATATATGTTCTTCTGTTCCTTTTTTTTTTTCTCTTTTTTTTTCTCCTGTTCATTTAATAAAATGGATATGACCAGAAATATTCTTATCTTCCATACAAGTTCCAAGACCACTTTTTCTCTAGCCCACAGAAGTGATGTTCATCTATTCAAATCTAATTTTATCACGTGCCTGGTAAGTGAGACCTTGCAAAGAAAAATGTTGCAGCAGTTGATATGACATTGTCCAATTTATTGTCTTTCTACAGGTGACCTTATTGTCTTGTTTTCCTCTAACAGATGTTTGACAAGGCTTTCCGGAAAGATATGATATTATTCTCAGAAATATGGCTATACAAAATACATATCGACTGTTAGAAAGAAAGTTTTTTATAGAGCAAAAACTACTTAAAGCATCTAAGAGCAACACTAAACTATCTTGTGCAAAGCACTAGAGTGTTAGATGGAAATCCAAAGAGTCTCAGGGATAATTAAGATTTTAGAGAAAGCCTAAACACAGTGATGCCAAATATCAAATGGCTCAGGAATTATTTTGCCCCTTGTGAAGCATATGGCAAGACTTTTCTTTGCTTCATGGCAACAAGTTCATGGAAACCAAAAAACGACGAGCTGTTCTTGCAAATGAAAATTCTGTCAAGCATGTTAAAGTCGAGCATCTATCCAATTAAGCAATTCCTTTATGAACCTTCAAATAAGAAGTGTGTAAAACCAAACAATTCCTTATTGACCACAGACTGACCTTGTAGCCACAGCCAGCTACGCAAGCATGGAAGCATTCCTGCAAAGCATAAAAGGAGAAAACTACATAAATCTATTGAATATGAATTCATTGCTCTTATATCATGCATTCCTGTCACTGAATCTCAACAAAATTTGAGCACCGCCACCAGATTTAACTAGACAAATAACAGATACGTCCATGTTATAGTATTTCAGAAAAAAATAATTATGTGTGGCTTGACATTTAAACATGATGCTTCATCTTTCCTTTAGATTAATATCCCAACTATGCCTCTTCTGCTCCACCACTGTAAGCAACCTCATTTGGTATATTGGGATAAGCTAATTAGCTTCTACTTATAGACTAGCAATTTTATCTGCTGGAGGTGCTTTCCAAGTAAACTACCAAGTAACAACTGACAACGCTTATGATCAGTAACTTTTGCAATAATCAGGTTCTGTTTATCCTCCTTCTATATCCATCAATACTAGCAAAAAAGTGTCAGCCACAATGCAGTTTCCGGTCATAATGCAGAAGCATTTCCATCTTCAAGGAAGGATGGACCTCCACTTGCTCATTTTGTAGATCAGGTTTTTTGTTAACAAAGTTCCTCAATAGTTGCATCTCAAGTATAAAAACCACCCCATGCCCCAAATAAGAAGAAGGGGGGTTGTGAGTGGAGTCGTTATGCACTTAAACCACTTGCTCTGTATTACCCCATCAAGAATAATCTTCCATATAAAGTAGAAATTGAAGTTGAAATTAACCAATTACCTGACATCTTTCGCCTACAGAGGCCAAATATATTAGAATATTCTGATCATACAATTGAATGAACAATCCGAAGTATCCATTACTAATATTATTAACCTTCCATACATTCCTTAAAGTCATTTACAATTTTAAATGCTCCTCTCCACCATAATCGCAAGGACGTTGCGTATTATTAGGAATTGCGGCAGTTCTAATGGTAGTTTTAGGATTCATGACTTAGTCACATTAATTTCCAGTAAAAAAATGTTGATATTTAAATTGAAATAAGATGAAAAGCAAAATCATGGAACAATGCCTCACATTAGTAACAATCATCATTTCCCAACATTATAGTCCCTTACGAGTAAAGAGCAATAAAAAAAAGGGTTTAAGCATGTCACACAAACAGCTGTATTGAATGGTTCAGCATGATACCAAAGACATAAATAAATAAATGAAGGTACAAAAGAACCTGCTGTTAAACACAATAAAAACATACCTCTGAGTAACTGGCAGAACCGGGAGAACGGTCAATGTAAGCACTCCACTGCCGGTCCTTTAAAACTGGGTCCTTATAGCAAATTTCGTTGCACTCCTCCAAACCTAAAAAATCATATAATCGTATTGATTAAAAGTTCAGAATCAAACCCAAAAGGTTATTCACTGTTAAATATTTTAGATACTTAAGTGATTCGTTACCATCAATTCTCTACCTTTGTATTGGTGGTAAGTAATTCAACATTAATTTGGATTTTTAATAGGCAAAAACCAAGCCAAATGATCAAACAAAATTGATCTAATGGGAGCTTATAATTAGCTTAAGAAGAATAGAAAGGCATAGAAACAAAAATGAACACTTGATCTATGAATTGTGTGCATCAGAACAGTTACTGTTTGCCCACAATTGTTGTTTTGAACTATCAGGAGGTATTGAAAAACATCATTATTAGTAACCAAAAGATTTAGATAAAATGAGTTACCATGTTATAACAGTTATAGATAAAATGCAATGTTGACTTCATATGCTAGAATAGTCAAGCTGAACCGATATAGCAAGTCCTAATCGGATGATACCCAATCCACCATGACTATAGAGTTTGTGCCTAGACACAGATCACTAAATGCTCAAACTACAAGAGCCAACCACTGCATTAACTAATGCTTCCAGGTCACATAAGACCCATGTGATGACAACAAACAATTCAGGGCCTACAGCCAGAAAAAATTAAGAATTAGATTCTGTCAGAATCCTAAGGTCTATTAGTTCAAAATGAAGCAATTTAGCTATATATCAAGCAGATCGCAGAATAATAAATTTCTTTGCAAAGAAATATAATATTGTTATACATATTACCAAGCAAAAGTAACAATTGCCAATAAAATTTATGCATGTGTGACTGAAAATGCTAAATACAGCATGCATATTTTTCTAATATGCACTTTGTTTGAGTCTTCCTACGTAGATTTCTACATTTCAACGCATGACCAGATTCATTAAACTAGGGAAAGAGCCAACTCATTTTCATTCAGAAAACGTTTTACAGGGAGATTAATGTTGTGGATGCTGCACTATTGTACCTTACATATATATATATAACAGCATGTTGTAATGAAGAGGTCACATCCAACAGTACCATTTCATTAGAGTCTCAATCTTTTTCCCAGTGGAAACAAATGAGGTTGAACTGTAACTGGACCCCAGTTCTTGATCTATTTCCTTGCAAATTCTATACAAAGTAAGTTGATTAATAATGATTAATGACTTGCCTTGCCAATGTAGAACCACTCTTAAAAGCAACCAAGTCCAGTAAAGTTAATACTTTTATGCTTATTAGATCCAAAGTGCCATCAAATGTAAATTCTTCTATCAAAATTCCAAGAAACAGGCAAACGTGATTATTTTGAGAAGTTCAACAGTGAAAATGTGGAACACTGAGAAGTAAAACTTACATTCCTCCCATGTCTCACCATCCGCATCACACCCCTTTTTGCAAAATACTCTCCCTACGAGAACACAGAAGATACATGCATGATAAGACTGATTGCTCTGTACGTAACATGCAACATTAATTTTAAAATTCAAAAGCATTAGAGATCTGCTGGAATGCCAAAAACTTAAATGTTAGGTTACATCATAATGCCTGACTGATCCTAATATCAGATCAGATAAACAAATTAAAATCCAAGAATCTTGTGCACAGTTACATTGATTGATTGAAAAAAAAAAAAAAAAAAGATTTGCTGAGGGCCTTTGGCCGACCCCATTCATTTAGGAATAAGGCAAAGATGATTATGATGATGGATGTAAAATTAAAAATAAAAATAAAAATAAAATAAAATAAAAACCTAGACAAAGCTAGGGAATTGCACTGACGGTTGGTTAGGAACAAGCAAACTCTCTTAACAATAACATTGTTAAAGATCTGCTAAAACGCAAAAAACTTAAATGTTAGGTCACTTCACACAATGCCTGTCTGATTATAATATCAGATCAGTTAAACAAATGTAATATTCAAGAATCTAGTGCACAGTTACATTGATTGAAAGAAAAAAATAAAACAAAACAAAACCTAGGCCAAGCTAGGGACTTGCTCTGACGGTTGGTTAGGAACAAGCAAACTCTCTTAACAATAACATTGTTAAAGATCTGCTAAAACGCAAAAAACTTAAATGTTAGGTCACTTCACACAATGCCTGTCTGATTATAATATCAGATCAGTTAAACAAATGTAATATTCAAGAATCTAGTGCACAGTTACATTGATTGAAAGAAAAAAATAAAACAAAACAAAACCTAGGCCAAGCTAGGGACTTGCTCTGACAGTTGGTTAGGCACAAGCCTACTCTATTGAACAATAACATTGTGGTAAATATCATATATGAATTTACAGATGCCACATATGTGTGCAGTATTCCAAGTTCTAAATTAAATTACAAATGATATCATCACCCTTGCCTTAATACCATATGAATGGGGTCGGCCCTATTACAAGCCCTAAGAATTTCATTCCATGTTAATTTCAGACTCCGTCTTTACCTCCTACCCTCTATGCAAATTATCCTTCCTCTTTTCACCGGTGCATCTATAGGTCTTTTATGTATATGTCCATATCACCTAAGTCTACTCCCTCTACACCTAGTTTCTCCCTCGCATTTTGGTTTGTAACCCTATCTTTTTCTAGTCACTCCTATCAACCATCTTAACATCCTCATTTCTGCTACATGAATTTGTTGTTCTTGATTCTTTTTTAACGCCAACACTCTGAGCCATACAAATGATATAATTCCAAGTAATAATATAAAACAGGAGCATCTTCCCCATTTTGCATGCACAAAAACACTTAACTATCAAGTTATCATTCTCTTGATAACATATATCAATAAATTAAAAATATAACATTCTCAGGTGGTATTCCTGCTCCTTCCTTAGAAAAGGTGCTAAGTCCAGTATAAGGACATGGGTTGGGGAACTTTAGGCAAGGAGGGAGCTGTCCTCCGTTATGTAGCCCATACTGTTGAAAAAGAAAAAAGAAAAAAAAAGAAAAGAACCAAAAAATTTATTTAACTATAAATCTCCTTTTTAAAAATGGTCGATAATCACAAAATATACTTGTTTCGAGTAATAAACAGATAAGGAATCTAATTAGTTAATTTCTTGACTAATAATGGTTCTAGATTCCAATCCAAATCTATTTGCGAGCTGAAAGTAGAATATTCATTTTTCCTTTGGGAAGCAAAAATAAAAAATTAAAATTTCTTCAAAGCCTAAATTAGGATTGTCAATCTCTTCCTCTTCAGTAGATCTCCTTCAAAGAAGTGGCATCAAATATGCAGTGGCCCCTTTATTTTCCTTTCCCATATTTGCTAGTAAGTCTGAATACTCCAACACAAAGCACAGTAGTTTTATAAGATTAGCCTAACATTTGGTTGACCTAGACCTCAAACTAGTTTATGCTAATTGACAAACTTATAAATGGAAGCCATAAGGGTTTTGGACACTGTTTGACACAATGCTGCTCCCCAATCCTGGAAAGATAACAAACATGCCCTTGGCATATCCATCTAACTTAAAACTTTAATTCATACACACGAAAAACTTGGTGAAGATTCACATGTTATGCACTTGCTGGCAGATTTGTTTATAATATAAAACTTATTTACAAATAAAATAAGAGGATGAACAAGAAGATATAATTATACTATAGCATATTAACATGTATTTGATGTGTCCTATGAATGCTCATTATATTTAAATATGTACAATCTTGGCAGGTAGAAATCATTCTGAATCCAGGTTTGGTTCCTACGACCATATCTATGCGAGATAGACTTTTTAAATTTGGATATTGTTTTCAACTCTGTTGGCTTTCCCTGTCTTTGCAAGTTCTTTAGGCATGGTATGACTTCCCGATCTTCAGAACAAAGTTAACTTCTAGCAATGTATCATTCACACTTGATGCCTTTTTTTTTTAGAAAATGCTTTGAAGTTAAGGCCTTCATGTCTTATTTATGATGGGAGACATCCCCTTTGATGGCCACAGATTTCTTTAAAGCTCAAATTTTATTTGTTTTTTCTTCCCTTCTTTTTTCTGTTAAAATTTTTCTCCTATACATTGTATTGGAGAATAAATAGCTACATGAAAAGCAAGTGCGCTTCTTGCAGTTAGCTTTTTACTGGTAAAACTTTTTAGATTTTTCTTCTCAAATTTTACATGACAGTATTTTTATCTTTGACTTCCCAAGCAAGCAGACAAAAAAAAAAAAAAAAAAAACCTCCTGAATCATCAACTATATCTTTTCCTAGTTGCTTTTCAGGTGATTTAGTTGAACACGATTACAAAATTAACTGCATCCAGAATAATTCCAGATTTCAAGTTGCATAAAAATATATATGAAACGTCTAACTAAATAGAATGAATTTCAAATTAGGTTGTCATCAATCACCACTGTCCCAGGTTTACAGCTTAGGTTCTGCTACATGATTATATAGTCATATCCTTTCTAATTCTTTTTCCAGGAATGATTTAAAAACAAAAGTAAATGCAATTTGAAAAAAGCATGTATGCTTGTGGTTGCATGTAAGCGGTGCTGTAACAACAACTACGATGACGACAAATACCATTAAGTAATGCAGCCTTTTCAGGAGATAATTTAAAAACAAAAATAACTGCAATTTGAAAAAAGCACGCATGCTTGTGGTTGCATGTAAGCGGTGCCGTAACAACAACAACGATGACGACAAATAACATTTAAAATGTAGCTTTTTCCAGAAATAATTTAAAGACAAAAAAAACTGCAATTTGAAAAAAAACATGCGTGCTTGTGGTTGCAAGTAAACGGTGCCGTAACAAAAACAACGATGACGACAAATAACATTAAGTAATGCAGTTACTAAATCTCCTCACAACCAGAAACTATATCAAGGGATCAGTAATTTACCCATAGCAAAACGCAAATTTTGACAAGGTACGACTTGCTTAAAAAACCAAATATGAAAATGAATATCAAACTTGAACATAATCAAAACTCATCTTCATGAATTACGACTTTGCCATTTGATGAAATTCAAGAAAGTACAAAAAAAAAAGTGCTGAATTACTACATCTCAAAATTTAAATTGATGGAGTACTATTTATGAATAAATTTGTTAAGATCCACTAAACTTGTTTAGGGATGATTCAGGTCTTCATGACTTGAATGCCCCTTTCAAGTGGATTTTACATTATAAGTAATAGCTGGCTGTGCATCATCAAATGCATTTAATTAAATAATTACTTATAAAGTTTTCCATTTTAAGCACTTAATGTGTTTTAACAAATAATTCCAATTTATGTTTTTGCTCCTTATATCTTTCTACATTTTATGTTGAGTTTGAAGTGTTCAATAACAAAATTTACCATTTCCCAAAATATATTCCAATTTAATAATTGTTCTAGTAACCGAAAAACCTCTAGACAAACAACCCCTAGAAAATTCTTAGCCATAACCCTGTAACATTAACATAGCACCTACCCTGATCTTATTTAGGTGCCCTAATTGCCTTATCCGGAAACACAAGATAGGCATCAAACCACACCCAAATGGACCACACTCATCAACTAGGGATTCTGATTATTAAAATGTGAGCCTTCTAATATACAATCCCCAAATTCAACATATATACTGCAACAAAACAAATTGCATCACGTTCAAACAATACATTAAACATAATCCGTTCCAGAAACTGTGGATATGCGTTTATGCGAGTCCTGTATTACATGTATCACTGATACATATATATAAATCATTAAAACCACAAAGATACAACTAGAGTTCAATTTCAGTGTATGAATCATAAATTTATCAAAAATTGCCATAAAATATAAAATTTTCATACATATACACACACACATGGATGTGTAGATATAGGGAAAATGGAGATGCATTACATGGAATCTGCGTAAGAGCTGCGTATTTGTGCGTGCATTCGTTTCCACATGGCGATGCCCATTGCTGTGGAATCATTGTTCTTCCACAATGCTCTTGCACTTTCTCTCTCTAGGCCCCTCTCTCTCTCTAATCGCAAGCGATGGATGAGAATGGAGAGAGTGAGTGAGGGCGGTCCGAAAAGATTCCGGCATGAGGGTATTTTTGTCATTCGGACATTACACGGTTTACGGACATTCTACTGGTCCCTTTCTCTATCAGTGTATGTGGTTTTACGAAATTGCAGTGAAAAATAAAAAATAATAAAAAGGGAAAATTATTAATTGCATAAAATTAAATAACCCCTCAACAGTCGCAACTATAAAGAATTGCATATTAAAATTTTCTTAATTAAACTTTTAGCAAATTACTACCTTAAAATACCACAAAATTTGCAAGACACACCCTTGTGTCAAGTTGTTGTTAAGAATATAAAATAAAATAAAATATTTGTTGATAATAACTAATGGTTAAAGCATTGGTACTTTTAAAAAATTTCTAATTGCACTTAATATTAATCGCATGAAATCCATCTTTTATAGAAATTTTTACATAAAAGTATTCATTTTAATGAGTTACGGTGCAAAATAATCAACAACACTTACCTCCGAATAACTTTAATAGAACGTAAGTTTTTTAATCGTTCATTTGTGCTTGGATTTTGAATCTATTCGTTTATTTGAAAGTTCAGATTCCTCTATCAAAATAATTATGGCCATCCCTTAAAAATAAGTTAGGATTAGTATTTCAATATCATTAAAATTTCTCACGTAATTAGGGTTTCTTAATATTAATTTGTTTAAGTGAAACGAACAACGCTCGAATCTTTTGTTTGTCAAATGAACACAAGGACATAATAATAAAATGACAATATTTAATCTAAGTAAAAAATCGATAATATATAATTGTTAATTCACTCCATCAACACTCTCAATTATGGGCATCTGATAGGAAGTGATAATTATGTATAGTTTTAGCAAAACACAAGGGGTCAAATTGTCTTTTACCATATTTCACAACTTATAAAAATAATTTTTTCTTCAGTTGAAATCATGAATTTAAAATACCGTAAATCCAGACGTTAATTTACCTTTAGTCTCGTGGACCAAAGATTGTTTGGTTTTAAAAATAAATAAATAATTATTATTATAAGAAACACTAAAAAGAACAGTAATGTCATTTCACTTTAAAAGTTTATATTTCTTAGTAAACAGAAGAAAATTGGAATGAACTTAATCCATTTATAACACAAATAGAATAGAACCAAAGCAGTGGTAGCAAAAAAGAGACCACATGCCACCAAACTGAGGTCACAATCCTAAATATTATCTCTTGAAGGAAGAGATTCATTGTGAAGTTATACACACTTTTACGATAAACAACATTATAAATTTATACCACTTTTTTATATAAAAAAAAAAGAAAAGAAGAAGCGCATGTCACACAATATAATGACCGTGGTATAAATTAAATCGAGTTTATAATTATCTTACTCAATAAATATATATATATATATATATATATATAAATTTATATTATATTAACGCGTTTATTGTCTCTATCATAAATCGTACAATTTGTCTAAAACGATGTTGTTCTCATTCTTTGTGTATGCACCAACTTTTACTGCGGCCCTAGGAAGCAAATATACGAATACGACACGATATAGGTACAGCAATACAGCAAATTTAAAAAAAATACAAGATACGAGTACGGCAAGATACGGTAATAAAAAATTAATAAATTTTATTTATATATATATATATAAATTAATTTTAATTAATTTTTTAAAAATACTATGAATCTAAATGCAATCATTAATATAAAATAGAAATTTGTTTCACAATACATAAAACAAGTATCCTTAATCATCATTTAATAAATTTTGATTTTTTTTTTTTTAACAATTATAATATGTTATTATTGTTGAAAAAATTACATTTTAATGTTTAAACTTATTTAAAATGTGTGATGAAGTATTTGAAAAATGTCAGATACATAATCGAAATACTTAAGAAGTATTTGAGAATATCGGATATGTGTTATAAATATATATACAGATATATATATATTTAAAAATTATTAATATGTTTAAGAAGTATCGGACACGTATTATCTCTCATTTGATTTGAGACTTAATCTCAATGGGCCATGCCAACTACGCATGCCACTTTTACCACTAACCAGCCAATCAATGGATGCTCTTATCACTAGTGGACCGACCAAAGGATGGTTTAACTGCTAAAGTAAGAGAAAATAGACCTTTGGTTATTTGTGCGACTCTTTTTTACTACTTCTTTGACTTTGTGAAGTATATGTGTTTTCTAATTCTCACTTTGTGTGATTTGTATTTTATTATTTTGACACTCTTGCTCTTACTCTATAAATCACACTGAGTACAAGGGAGAGACAGAGTTTAAGTAGGAGCGGATGAGAGAACTTTTCTTCCTTATTGTTATGCTCTGAAAGGATGGTGAGTCTATGGGTCAGCATCATTCTCAAATTACGACACCAGTTAGTTTCACACACATGATTCGCAGTTGCTTCTGTTCCTTTTTCGATATTTGACACACCAACCATTATAAATTCATATGAATTACTGAATCTATTCTCACTCGATGCTTAAAGAAAAGCCGTAATGTAAAACCTAAATCACACGTAATAAAAATTGTTAGTAAGAGAGTGTTTAAACGAAATCCAGAGCCCAGGCGAAGGGTAATGGGACACTTTAGCTAAAAGGATCAAGTGACTCAGATTGCCCCTACTCCATCCGACGTGACTGATCTCTCTACCTGTCTCTATCTCTAGGTCAAAATTTCTTGGTTGCGAAGGAAAGTCCAAATGAGTAAAATATTGTCGGAATCGGCGAGAACTGACTAGTGGGGTCTTGTGCCCTTAACCATTTTTACTTGCAATTAACCAAACCGCCCTTTCTTCACGCGGCAAAATTGTACAGAGACGAGCATACGACAAACAACACCACTTCAAAAATTGGAAAAGACCCAAGACGTGTTCTGGAAGGGCAGAGAATCTATTATGACTCGTCATCGCTCACTCACAAAAATATGCCATGTGGAGCTCTAAACCCTCTCTCTTTCTTTTTCAATCATTTAATAATAGTTAAGCCTACCCCTTAACTAAAAATAAAAAATAAAAAATCATTTAAGTAGTTTTCACAATCGCCTGGAAATTCTCTCTGAGAGAGAGAGAGAGGGGAAGAGAGAGAGAGAGAGTAAGGAGGGAGCTCTGTTTGGTTGCTCCAAGACTCGGTTTCCAAAACCCTCATTGCAAGTAAGCTTCCGTTCGATTCCAATTGCTCAATCATTTCTTGTATTTTTGTTATTGGATTCTTAATTGTTTGAATTAAACTATAATGATGTTTGAAAACAATCATCGATCATGGACATTCAATCAGTAAACCTTTTATTTTTAATTCTTTTATATTCAAATGATATGAAATAGTATTTATCTGATTTGTGTTTCCAATTTTTTAGTATGAACATTGGTCTATTTTTTCAATTTTCTTTTTTGAATTCAATTATATTGAAGAAGAACATGGTTGATGATAAAGTGTAGAAGCTCAAACCTTATTAAGAAAGATATTAATGAAAATTATTGCTATACAATGCTTATTATAACTTATTGTTCTGTTTGGTATGTATTCCTTTTAGTAATCTTTATCCCGATTGAATATATATTTAAAGGATTGGAACTGGCGTATAGCCAATGGAGCCATAACCCCTCTTGAACCCACATAGTGTATGAATGAATTTTTTTTTTTTTTTTAACCAAAAAAGTGTATGAATGTTAAATTTTCATCATACTTTAGATAATATTACTTTAGTCCTATGAAAAATAAGTTACCAACTGTACTGGATTATTAAAACGCTCTATTGCTTGAAAATTAAAGCAAACACACACACCCATTATCCACATTACGTCCCTAGTGGGACTCGAATTCTCAACCTTTCCCTTTGGGGAGGACAGATCATACCATTGGGTTATATGCCCTTTGGTTTTAGATTACTTTGTTGCCTAATTTTTTATTTTTTATTTTTTTATTTTAAACGAGTATACACCGAATCATTTTTTGTTAGTTTGTTTGAATATTACAGTTGTTTTGTATGTTTTGATGGTATTTTTGTTCTCATCACATACCAAAGTTAGTATAATATTCTTCTGAGTGCAGACCATACTTGTTTGAATGTGGATTACGTTGCAAAGTATTCTTATTTTTCCGCCTTCTTAGAGTCATGCAATTAAGTTGACATTTTCCAATAATAATAATCTCTATTATAGTATTTGTGAAGGAAAAATGTACAAGTATGTCATAACCTCTCTTCCACAAGTGATTTGTCTGTATTTTGTGCTGTGAAGAATTTCAAATGGAAGCATCTGGTTCAAGTATATTACGAAATGATGATGAGGAAAGGGCCTTGGAGTGCTTGCTTGATGCGTTTGGTTCTGTATTTTCACTAGAAGATATTGCTTCAGTATATTGCAAGGCAGGCCGGAATGCTAACTTGGCTGGTTCAATGCTTTTTGACTTACAAGAGAGCAACTCCACCTCCAATGGTGAAGTAGTGAGTGAAAATTTTTCAGAATCATTCCACATTCGTGAATCTGATGTACAGAGTGAGAGATCTTCAGAATCATTGCCCATCCATGTATCAAATGGTGAAATACACAGTGAAAGATCTTCAAAATCATCCTGTATTAATGAATCTAACGACGAAACGCAGAGTGAAAAATCTTCAGAGTTATCCTGTAATACTACTTTTGTTAAGTTCTCCTGTGTAGATGGAAACTCAAAAGAATCAAAATCAAGAAGCCGTCCTGCTTCAGCTGGTACCATTTCATGTGTTCTAGGTAAAAATTATTTAAGTTCCACATCCTTGACACATGAAGCATGTATGACAACAAAACCTTTGAAAGTAGACTCAAAGGATTTACTAAGGTCCGAACTTGAGGGAGAACATTCTTCCATAAATTTGGGGAGGGAGAATTTAATGGACAATAAAATTGAGGATTTTCTGTTTAAGATGCTTGGAGATGGATTTCAGCTTGACAGGGATACAATGTGGGACATTATTGGTAAACCATTCTCAACATTCTTTAAGTTTTTCGCCATATTATTCA